TTCGGCGAATATTCGAATAGATATTTTCCGATCTAGATTATTCGAATATTATTCGAATAGGGAATCTGTAAGCTCTAGGTGTACCCAATGTTGGTCACTCTTATAAATCCAGTAATTTTATAAGTCCAATGTTCCAAATGCCCAACACTAGTCGTACCGGTACTTTTCTATTTGTTTGTCTGTCCTAAATTTCAAATTCATCCCAAAATTTTTATTAAAAGTCTTGATTAAATTTTGTTGTAAACAGATGTTGTTTAGGGTTTAAATTAGTCCGAATTCTGCCAGCAGATAGTGATTTCATAAACCAACTTTGAGTTGCTTTATTTAGAATTTTATCTTTTATTAATATGCCTAATAAAAGCTCCTCTGTTAGAGCTTGGAACTAGTTTATTTTTTAATCAGTTTTAATATATGAAAAATAAAATCGGTTCCAAACTCTATTTGCTGTTGAAAAGGAAGCAGATTTGAAAAAAAAATTCCGACATTCTGATTAATTTGAACTTTGCAGTAACAGATAACTCGTTCTTGGTGAGAGAGATATATTTGCAATTTCACTAGGTATTTGTTTTTTATGTATATGCCACTAAGTTAATAACGTAGAAGCTCATAGTGACACTGAGATGAGATGATTCCGTCCAGGTAAACCGAGCAATCATTAGCTTTATTAACCGGTAAGCTAGATTCTTGCCTTGCGTCAATAGAATACATGAACAAATGTTCTATTTTTCGATTGCGGGTAATATTTACCTTGAAAATGAAAATGAAAATATTTACTCATTATTTTACTTTTCATTAAATAACTTTAGAGCTTATATTTCGGAATTTAAAATAAGGTTTATGATAGTTGCCATGATGTATAATTTCGAAACTTTAATGAGCTGTTAATTTATTTATATTTGCCAATTTTTGATAATAAATAAATATTTATTTTATAGTATAAAGAAGAATGCTTCCCTCATTATCTACAGTAATTTTTAAGGTGAATTCAGGTCCAATTGTATATCAAGTAATGCCGGGTGCCAATTGAATCTATTAAATATATATTCAATAGCTGTGATTATGGATGGTTATATAGAATGCATATATAGAGGTTTGAATGTATTTTGGATTACTTATTATAATTCATTAAAAATTTCAAAACTGGGAACTTGCAATATGCATTATATTAAGTTTGTTAAGGGTTCGTATGAACTTTCCTTTGATAGTACTTTTTATATTATCGAATTCTATGCTTATAACAAAGATTAGTGGAAGTGCAATGATCGTATTCTTTATCGATCTATTCTAAAAAAAAAAAAAAAAATTCAATAAACTAATGCCACAAGTCTTGTAAAGTGCTACTGTTTTTTACAAAAAAGAATATATCACTCCAGAGAACAAATGCGGTCAACTCTCTCTAAGTGCAAAGTGCAATTCGCCAGGATCATATGTAAAAACCTTCATTTAGAGAAAGCAAGCATATAACTTTATGCTTGAAAGCGTTTATTTATAAAGATGACACGGCAACCTATGCTAACCGAAATAACATTAATGTCATCTTGGCTGCATAATTATATTAATTAAATTAAATTATGGTTTAATATCGATATCTCAAGATATTTTATCTGTGTATCATAGCTAATTAAATAGGAAGTTGACTTTCCAAATGACATAATCTGTCATATACCATCAGTCCTATTATTCAAACGCTAACGCCAATAATTTCGATCGAATCTCCGTAGCATTCAAATTCGCGTGGCTTAAGTAAGCAACCTGAAAATCGTCATGGTTACACGAGCAAATTAAAATTGGCCGGTTGGGGTAATTTGTGATCAATACCGTATTGTGACCCCCGGTTGTCGGTATGTGATATCGATATGATGTAAAAAAGGCTTATAATTGTTTTGGGCCAAAATAATGGATGTGTTTTTCAATTTTACATAATTCGTGCAATTTTTATCTTCTCATTTCATATTGTGCTCTTTATTTTTGCTCTATTACACGAAATTTACATAAAGGTGAGCCTTTCTATTTGAATCATGGTGTTAGCAATGCCAAATATCTTCTTGCAAATCAAAGCGTTGTAGCATAGTCCAAGTAAGATTACAATAGCTTTCATTTTTGGAAATTTTTCTAAGTAATTGCCTCAATTGATACGTATTCGCTGCTGATTTTTAAATTTTAAATTTTACAGTGTGTTATTATGCTAATAAAGAACTATGGAAACATTACAAGCGATTGATAATGGTGCAAAGTATACCCGTGAAGAAACAATTATATTAAATGTTGGAGGAATAAAGGTAATCAACTACAAAATATAAAAATTTATCGTCTGTATAATTAATAAAAGACTTGATGAATTTAAACGCTTAGTATGAAACATATCCATCGACTTTGACTGCCTTCCCTGATACTCTTCTTGGTACAATGTTTCAGGAACGTAACAGATCGATGCTTCATCCTAGGTATGTATAGATGCAATTATAATAATTGTATTTATCATATACTTACTATTTTTATATTCTTAATATTCTTAGGAATGGCAATGAATACTTTATTGATAGGAATGGTTATGCATTTCGATATATTCTTGAATTCTATCGTAATGGCAAAATACTATGGAATGAACGATCGGATAAAAATACCGTTCCTGTCACTCGAGAAGAATTAGATCAAGAAATTGATTATTTCCAAATACCTGTTAAAGATGTTTCATTGATTTCAGGGGAAAAAACTGTAGCTGCTAAAGTCAATGCATTTGTTGCTGCACTCAAGGAATTAATCCATGAAGCAATGGATCAACTTCAAACTGAGATTCATCTGAAATTTTATGAAGATGGTCAACCAGGTTTACAGTATTGGAGTCCTGCGTATCGACAAAGTGCAATTGTTGAAAATATTTTGAGACCATTTAACATTGTAGGTTATGTAATTCTACAACAATTTGGCGATACAATAGAAAGACATCTTAAATCTGAAATTCCAGAAATATCCTGGCTTCTTAATGAAGGCACACCTCGATTTCCACCAGATCTCCCACCGGACTTTGATTCACGAGCTTCGTTTATTGGTGGATCAGGCGGTCCTAACGGAACAATTGGTCCTTTAATAAATAATAATCGACCTTCGTTTTCTTTCGCAACTAGGCAATCTATCAATAACCAACAAAGTAATATTCAAACTCATCAAATAAACAATAACAACTCATCTCAACCATTGATTGGAACCTTGGGAAATTTGCTTGCGCAAATAAATACCAATAATCAAAATAATATTTCATCTAGTACTACAACTACTGGACCAGATATAGGATTGAACGTGTTTGGTAATGTGACTACAGCACCTTCATTTAATCTATTTGGTGCTACTAGTGGAGTAAATACGCTTAATAGAGGTCCTCAGACGGTATTCCAATCAAATGGTTTTGGTACTTTCACAAATATTCAACCAACTATTCCATCATTTGGAGCATTCGGGTTTAGCCAACCGATTATCCAGGCGACTAATTATAGTAATGGTTTCAGTCAGTCGTCTCTTGGAAATATTACGAGCATTCAATCTGGGACAACTTTTGGGTACGGAAACATACAACCAGCTACTACTACAAATGGATTTAGAGTTGCTATTACTTCACCAACATTTACAACGAATAATCAACCAACTAGATTTGTTGTTCCGGGTGAGTAAATGTTGCATAATCGGTAATCATTATCGTATATTAGAATAATTTATTACATGAATCCGATGCTGTTATTTAGGAAATTTTACTTTAAATCCAAGAATTACGTCTATTGATGATACAGTTTTTCGTCGATGTCCTCGAAACGATGGGAAATGCCTTGAATTGGTTATAAAAATCGTTTACAATTACTCTGTCGCTAATATTTTGGCAAACACTTGTCTTGCTAATGATTAATAATGTTTGTGTGCTAACTTGAAAGATGTTTATAGTTTGCATTTGTCATGCTCCGAACTTTTTTTTTTTTTTTTTTTTTTAAGGAACTGTTAACGCTATATAGATAAATCATATTATGTATATTTCATAAATATTCAAATAAATATGTAAATATGCAACATAGTTAAAAAAAACGAAAATTATTAATACAAAACCCACTATTTAATATTTAACGATTGATCATATCAGATATCTGATGTCTGATGATACAATTAAACTTTAGTCTAGGAACAGCCCAGAAATAGAAATGAGTATGCAAGATTTGCATAAGTTTTAAGCGTTGAAGTAACATAACTGATTTCCGTTAAGGAAAACATGTTCTGTCGATTCGCGTTGTGGCGCAAAAAATTTTCCGGTCCCATGATTGATCCTCAACGCTGTCAAGCTATCAATAAGAAGTGCCAATAATATACAGTATGTCTAAATTTTGTGCAAAACCTCTTAATGACTGGGTTGCAAATTTAAGAGTTAATCCCAGTTCTGGTTTGTTCTTTCGTTTTCGAGATTGTGTATTACACTGGGGCGTGGCACACTATGAAAATTAAAATTAGAATACGTGGTCATACAATAAAATTTATTTTGTTATATTGATTTTTCATAATTCTTCGCGAATTTATATAGATGAACAGTTTGGTTAAAGTTTTGTAAAGACTTATATTGCATCTATACAAAGCTATAGTGCCATTTTCTAAAGAGGTTTCGATTCAATCATTGTTTTGGTCTTTTTAAAAATTTTTATATACTACATATAGTGTATGAGTAAAGGAAATGTTCAAAGTTAGCGAGGAATTATTATAAAAAAACCTTATCCCTTAAACTGTATATAAATTCGAGGCAAATTTGCCCCTAATTTTTTTATAAAATTGTTTCTGATCTATTTTTTAAAAAAATTAAAATATTTAAATAAATTTTTTTTTGATAATATTTGAAAATAAGGATTATATTTTTGTAATATTTGTATTGAAATTATAAGAAAAAAAATTTGAATTGTTTATAATTTAAAAATATATAATTTTAGTAAAATTTAACAAAATTTACAATTTTTTAATAAATTCTTTAAATATTAATATTAAATTTATAATTTTTTAATATAAAATTAATATAAAATTATAGATTATAAAAAAGAT